GATCAACAAAGTAAAAAAACAAAAGTTGTTGAAAATAATGGTTTCGACCCAATATGGAATGAAACATTTACTTTTAAAATAAAATATCCTCAAATGGCACTTGTTTATTTTGCTGTTTATGATTGTGATGTATTTTCTCGTGATGATAAACTTGCACATTTTTGTTTACCATTAACAGTAATGCAAACAGGTTAGATATTTCTTATTTTCAAAATCAAATCGATGTTTTTTCTCAATAGGTTATCGTCATATTCATTTACGAGCTAATAATAATGATCCAATACATTCAACAATATTTGTTCGTGTTGATATTGAAGATGTTGATGAAGAAGATATGATATATGTACGATTGTAATATTTTCTATTTTTGTTTTGTTTTTTTTTTAAATAAAAACGTTAATATAATATGATAAAATTTCAACATATTCTATTTTTTCATAATCAATACATCATCTTATCAAAAAGAAATAAAATAAATACGTTACGTATTACCATGGAAAAACACACACAAATCAAAGAGAAAAAAAACTGAAAAAACAAAACATTTATGCAAATATCGGAGTCGCAGTTTGAACATGTCCGAGTCTTTTTTTAATATGTTCAACTTCACCACCATATTTACAAATAGCAACTCGCATCATAGCAAGCATATTGTGAGCAGCTGTATTATGATCATGTATACCACCATAAAATGCTACAGTAGCATCTTTTCCAATATAACTTTTAATTAAAGCTCGGCCACCCGGATGTGAATCAATGAAATGACCTGCATCATGAATAAAACCAGCAATTAAAATTAAAGCTCGACCATCATCTTTTTTTGATAATTCTTGATATTCTTCAAATGTTATAATAGGTAATTCAGCATTTCGTTTTGGCCAAGCTATTGTTCGACCTAATTTTTCTAATTCTTTATGTACCATTGTATAACGACCTTTTTCAATTTCATTATTTGGAAATTCTTTAAGATTACTAGCAAGACCAATGAGTTTAAAAAATTCAATTAATAATTTTGTTGGATCATATTGAAACCATCGAAGTGCATTTCGATAATCCGATGGAAATTCATGATGAAAATTATGATAACCTTCACCAAGTGTAACAAGTGCTGTTATAAAATGATCACGTGGTGTATGTCGATCATCGAATGGTGTATCACCTAAATAATGTGCTAATGAATTAACACAAAATGTTGAATGATGTACAAAAACAAGACGAAGAACACCAGCAAAAAAATAACCACCACGATAATCATTCCATCCCAATCCACAAATAAGAGTAGGTAAAACAAATGACATAAAAAAAGCTAAACTTATATAATTTCGATGTTGCCATTGAATTGTTGGATCATGATTTAAATCTGTAACATCAGCTACACCTGGTTTTCGACGAGGTTTAAATATTAACCAACCAATATGTGAATAAAACATGCCTTTATGTGCACTATATGGATCAAGATCCGTATCAGTATAACGATGATGTGCACGATGACCGCGTGACCACCATTGAGCTGATCCTTGTACAGCACCAGCACCAAATGTAAGTAAAATATAACGTAAAGTTTTTGTTGCTTCATAAGCTCGATGAGCAAATAAACGATGATAACCAGCAGTTATACCAAAACCAGTAAGAAAATACCATATTAGAGTAAAAATAGCAGTTTGCCATGCGAAAGACGTCGTAAAAATACCATAGAGTGCAATAAATGGTTCAAGACATAATAATGTAGCTTGAGGCCAATTTATTTCTTTATACCAATTTGTCCAAGTAATGGCTGGTAATTCAGGTTCATTCAATAAAGTTCGTGCTACATAATTATTTTTAATAAATTCTTCTTCTTCTTGTTCCGTACTCATTGTTGATTGTGTTTGATTATCTGTTGAAACATTGCCTTCAACAATTGGTGGTGATAAATCCAATGGTTTTGGTACATATGGCATACATGTACTAAATTCTTTTAATTTATCAACGATATATACCATTTCGTTATAAAAATATTCGAATTAATCGATGTTTTATATTATCTAAAAAGTGATATAAATGATAGTCTCACACGAGAATCTTCATTCAGGTCAGACGGTTAAATAGAAAGAGAAATGGTACGATCACGACATATATAATAAGAATGTCAAACAAAATCATGCATACACTGCGTGACACCATCTCTTTAAAACAGTTTTGTTATTAATTTTATATTATCTCTTTTTCAAAAAAAAATATTGATGTTAAGTTTGAGTTAATATTACTTACTAATCTATTTATTTCCGTTACAATTATTGAACAAATATAAATATTTAATAGCTATAAAGTCAAACGTAAATGTTATTTACGTATTCGTCTGGAAATTATAAGTACATGTGACCCTATGTGAATCCGAGAGAAGAATAATCAGATAGAATTCATTCTAACATATATACGAAAACAAACTATTGAAGACATCGTAGATTTGATTACGAACTATTATTTAAGTAGATGAAGAAGTCGATTATCAGACACACTTACCATATATTTCTTAGAGAATAATAACTATAAAAAAAAAACTTACTCGCATTTAATCAATCGAAAAAGATTGCTCTAGAATTAATACTACGCAAAAAAAATCTTACGCCAACTTAAATAATTTCGTTGCAGTTTTATTGTTACTCATTTAATTCAAAAAAGTCTAAAGTCTTCTTTTCAATACCACCATCTGTTATTGTACATTAACATACCTTTTAAAATAAATAATGCCATCAAATACTTCAACTCTTACGGTGCCTTTTTTTAGATGTCTTTGTCCTTCTTTTTTTTCTTTTTCTCTATTCCATTTTCTCTCTCAATCTTTCGCTTACTTATTTGTTTTTTTCTTTCTACGCCTCTTTTTTACCGGCCATCACATCAGATGAATGCTTACAAAACAAATCTACCCATCTACTTCTTTTTATTATGAAATAACAGATGTTTATAACGAACATATTTCGCCTAGATTTATTGTCTATGATGATTTAAATAGCTCTAGAAATATTATTTTCTGTGAAAAATATATCATTGTACCAGTAAAGAAATATAAAAACGCTGATTTTCAGTTGTCTCATCAATCATATGCTGAGAATTATATATGATAATAGATTATACGCAGTAAGCAGATACATTGACTATTCATTCCAATAGACCATGATGACATCGAAGAAGAAATCCTTTTTTTCCTGCTGTTCGCTGTGAATATTGTCGCTCTATTTACTCGTACACCATAATAAGATAAATTTGTTTATGACATATCTAGGGCGATAAGTGTTGACTTCACATTAGCATTGCATTAATTCATACGATTTTGATGTTAGGAAGACACTCATCTCTATTAATATTTTGCACTACAACTATGATGACAAAAAATAACAATACAAAGATATTTTTATCTCTATATTACAAAAATATACTTATGTAACAATAATTTCTCTTTCATTTACTTATAAAAATAAAACTATTGCGCCTTTGTTATTGATTATTAGTCTAATCACGAAATTTTTGAAAAAATTCAATTCATGAAAATCGAGTTTCAGAGATTAGACTTACGCATTATGTAAATCTTTATCTATTTTCTTTAATAATCTTATATTTATAATTGAAAAAGATAACACAGACTATATTCTATGAATTATATCTATTAGAGATTATTGAAGAGCGATCTCTATCGATTTGTTAAATAATCTTATTGGCTTTTCTTTATAATTATTGAAAACAAAGGAAGAAATTATAAGAGTTTTTTTTTAATTGAATTTTTGTTATATTCTTCTTATTCGAATTTGAAAATGACAGATAATCTTTCAAAAAGTATTAAATCAACCGAACATGAATTATCTTGGGCAAATCGCGGCTTAAAAGGCAATAGTGCTGCTGATGGTAATTATTTATAATTTCGTTAAACAGTCGAATATTTTCTTTTCGTAGTCAAAGAATTATGTAATGCAATTGAAAAACATAAACCATTAAAAGCATTACGTCTCGAAGGTAATACAATTAATGAAGAAGCAGCAACAGCTATTGGAAAAGTTCTAGAAAAACATAATGAAATTGAAGTAAATATTCAGAATTTTTCCTTATTCATTTATTTCATTCATTCATTTAATATTTAGCGTTTAATATGGAATGATTTATTTACTACTCGTCTTAAAACTGAAGTACCACCATCATTAGTATGATTAAGTGTTTACTATTTTCTTTTTCTAAATTCTTTTTTTTTTCGTTAATAGATTAAATTAACTCAAGGTCTTTTAACGAATGGATGTCATATAGTTGAACTAAATTTAAGTGATAATGCATTCGGTCCTATTGGTGTTAAAGGTCTTGAAACCTTTCTTTCATCATCAGCATGTTATACACTTGAAGAAATTCGTTTAAATAATTGTGGTATGGGTAGTATGGGCGGAAAAGTAATTTGACATAATTATTAATTTATAAAAAAATAACAATAACATCAATAAGATTATTTATAATTTTTAGTTATTAGCTGAAGCATTAATTGCATGTCATAAGAATAGTATCGCAGCTGGTGGAAAACGATTTGCTTTAAAACAATTTATTGCTGGTCGTAATCGTCTGGAAATTGAAGGGTCGCAAGCATTAGCAAAAGCATTTGAAGTAATGAATTATTTTTAGTTTTTTTGAATAAATAAAAAAAATTCTTTTAATTAGATTATTGGTACATTAGAAGTTATTCGTATGCCACAAAATGGTATTCGTCCACCAGGTATTGAAGCATTGACTGCAGCTTTTTTACAAAATCGAAATTTACGTATCATTGATCTTAATGATAATACAATAACAACTGCAGCAGGCAAATTAGCGTCAGTAATTTCGAAATTACCTAAATTAGAAATTATTAATCTTGAATCATCGCTAATTCGTACCAAAGGTGCTATTGCTATTTCTCGCGCGATTGTTTCACATAAAAACCTTCAGGTAATGAAAATAAATGTTTTTAAAAATATAAAATTTCATTTAAATAAAGGAATTATATCTTGGATGTAATGATATGCATATTGATGGTGGTCTTGAAGTTGCACGATGTATTAAAAATATGCCATCGTTAAAAGTATTAGATTTGAATGGTAATTGCTTTGGTCTTGATGGAATAGAAGAAATTCGTAATGTATTAGAAAATAAAAACTTTATTGATCAAATGGCATTTAGGTAAATCATATTTTTTGCAATAGATTAATTAATTCGTTTATATTAGTGATGATGAAGGTAGTGATGAAGAAGAGGTGGAAGAGGAAGAAGAAGAAGAAGAAGATGAAGATGTTGACGAAGATGATGAATATGATATTGAACAAGAAGAAGAAGAGGATGATGAAGATTATCAAGAAGCAGAAGAAGAACATCAAGGCAATGAATCTACATCTTTTACTTTCGGTACAAAACAACAACAAAATGGTTTTCAATTTGGTGCTCCACAATCTACTTCATCAAAAGTCGAAGCTGTTAATGGTTTATCTAATATGATAGCTAAATTTGATTTTAATGTTAATTCATCATTTAATTTTGGTTCTCAATCAACAGCTGAAGTACTGAATATAATTTCCTATCATATTTTTTTCTAACTAGTTTTATTTTGAATAGATTAAGGATAATAAATGGACAACATTAACTACTTTGGATAAAGTTAAAGAACATTTAAAAGTAAGTCAAACTATGAAATTAACAAATTATAAAATATGTTCTATAGAATGATGAACAATCTGTTGAACGCGCTATAAAATTACTTGAAAATATATGGAATGATAATTCTCTTCCACAAAATGATGCTTCTTCAATTGCCAGTAAGAATAATATACTTTATATATAGATATACAATTTGAAATCCTGTATTTTTATAGGAAATGCTTTAAAAGCAATGACATTTACAACATCAAGCGAACGTAATTTTAATGAACGTTTACTTGTTTCATTAGGTTTTGTTAAAGTAAGACAAGTTTTTTGTTTTGTTCGAGAGACATATTTATTTTTGTTTGTTTAGGATGAACAAACAGGACGTCAACGTCGTACAATGAACCAACATGGTAAAATTTATCAAACACTCATTGATATTCATCAATTCCTACCAAAAACAACCAAAAATCTTCTTTCAATTTTTCTTCAAAATACTTTGAATGAACAAAATCAATGTTTATCTGAATTAAAACAAAAATTATTAACAACAATAAAAGGATAATAGTTCTTTTTTCTTTCTTTGTGAATGTGTGTATTGTATCTATTTTGCGGTTACGAAATTAAACAGAATAGGACAAACTAATATCTTCTTTATGTATGAGATAATGAAAGAAACGTGAAATTTATCTACCTTACTGCGAATTTTCAAGTTAGAACAGAAGTGTGATATTACAAACTACTCAACACCTCTTGAACGGTGCATAAACTTGCTAACTCTATCAAATATTGATATTAGACATATTAATTTCCATTACTTCTGAATCATTCGATTGCCCATAATAGTATGTCATAAAAATGAGTGACATGTAATTTGTATTTTTTCTTATTAGAAAATATGCTATTAAAAGCATTATTAGTCATAAAAGTACTATTGGAAAGAAATTTAAAAAAAACATGCATGCCATTTAATACGGACTTTATTATATTTACATAAATCATCGGTTGACTAGCAAGACATACAATATATTTTTTGTACCTGAAATTTTAAATACTTAGAAGTTTTATAATGGATGTTAAATTTACTTATTATAAAAGACTGGAAAGTTATTGATTCAACGGTTATACTTATTTTGTTTTTTAACAAAAAGCAAATACTTTATATAACTTCTTTTCTATTCATGCCGTTATTTAAAGGACAAATAGTTAAAAATAATGTCTTAATAACTATTTTTCTAGGCATTACAAAGATAAGTTGAATAATATCTTGAATTCAATGCACTATCAGTTTTCTTATTACTACTGACGCATTTACAGTAGAGATTGAAGCAATCGATTTCTCTCAAGCAGTTGTTAAATATTTGAAGAGGAGGAATATAAAAATTACTCATTTTTACCTCCTGACAAATTCTTTTTTTTCGTATGATAATTTTCGTATCACCATCAGTAGTATCTAGACTGTATATTTTCGTGTCAATATTGTGATGAGAATAAATTATGTCTGCTACTTTTAATCTTAAGATACGAAAATTTCGATGGTGTTGATAAAGAAAAGACTAATCAAATAAAGTGCGGTTTCTTTTTTGTGTCAAAGAAGTTGCTATGGATTCTTTTTTCTATTCTTTTTTTTATTTATTACAAAGTTTACTAAAAGTTTTTTTTTTCTCTTATTGATTCTACATCAACCTTGCTTTATGTCGTTCTTCTATATATATACTATACATAAAAAAAAGGAGACTAAAGAACAGTATTGATCCGTCTATTTCATCAAAGAACAAATAAATAAAAAAGAGAAAAATCGAAACAAAAATACTTTTTTACATTGAATTGAAAGTTACCGAGATATGGATGAAATACAATGGAAAAGGTTTGAAATTTTGTTTTGTTTTGAATTATCTATTTTATAAAGTAAATTTATAGAATAATGAATACGGAATCATCGAGTATAATCGATACACAACAAATAGATATTGTTAATCCTCTTAAACGTCGAACAACATTTATTAAATTCAAACCAAATGGACGTACATATTCACGTGTATATTATTTAGTTCTATCAGAAGATTCAATACATTATCGTGGTTCGAAATCGAAATCAAAAACTGAAGCATGTATGATTAAAGATATTGATCAAATTCGTTCAGGTTTTACAACAAATGTTTGGAAAAAATGTTTAACTAAAAGAAAAATTACGGATGAACAAAATCATTTAGCTTTTTCCATTCTTTATAATAATAATCGAAAATCACTTGATTTACTTGCTGAATCCGAAGATATTCGTTCACAATGGATACAAGGTTTAGAATATTTAGTAAATCGTTATCGATCACATATGCGTACACATCAGGAAATAAGTGATCAATGGATATGGCATTTATTTTCTCAAGCTGATTCAGATCATTCAGGACAATTAGATCGTAGTGAAGTTCGTCATCTTTTATATACATTGAATATTCAATTAGATGATGATGAAATAAATCAATATTTTAATCAAGCAAATATACGTGCAAGAAATATTTATGAATTAAGACATTTAGACAAGGATGAATTTTTAATCTTTTATAAATATGTCTCACAACGACCGGAATTATTAAAAATTATTTGTCAGTAAGTATTATCAATATATTTAACATTGACAATATTAAAATGAGTTTAGATTTAATGGTAGTAGTGTTGAAGAAATGTCAGCAACTTTATCGGAGTATACTGTCATTCATAAACTACCAAATTTAATACATCGTTCACGTCATTCTCAATCATTAAGTTTTCGAAAACGAAAAAATCCGAAAACAAAAACTCGTTCATTAAGTTTTCGTCGTCGACGTTCACCATCGATAACTCCCGAACATCCTACAACATCGAATACAATTGAACGAAAAAATTATTTAACTATTGAACAATTAAAAGATTTTTTACAAAAAGAAGAATGTATAAGAGCTTTATCAATTGAAGATTGTTCGAGATTAATTGCAAGATTTGAACCATCAGTTGAAGGACGTCAATGTGAAGAAATGGGTGTTGATGGTCTTCGAATACTTTTACTTCATGAAGAATTTTGTCTTATGAATGCTGATAAATCAAATCGTATTTATCATGATATGACAAGACCATTTACTGATTATTTTATAGCAACATCACATAATACGTAAGTAAATTAAATTCGAATGAATCGTGAAGAAATTTTCTTTCATAGTTATCTTCAAAATAATCAAGTTTTTGGTGATTGTACTCCTGAAACTTATGTACATGCATTACGAACTGGTTGTCGAGCAGTTGAACGTAAATATTTGATTCCCTTCTAAATTTTAATCGATGTCTTATTTTATTATATTAGTGGATTGTTATGATGGTGAAAATATGGAACCATTAGTTTATCATGGAAATACAATAACAGTACCAGTTTCATTTAAAGATATTTTACTTGCTATTGAAACAGTAGCATTCACAGCTTCACCGTAAGTTTATTAAAAAATATTCTGATTCTTTAAGAATATATTTTATTGAATTAGTTATCCACTTTTTTTAAATATTGAAAATCATTGTTCATATCAGCAACAAGCTGTTATGGCTCGTCTTTTAAAACATATTTTTAAAGGTATATCAAAACAAATTTTTTTCATCTTATATTTATATTATTTTAATCATAGATCGTCTATTGACTGAACCATTAGTAGAAAATTTTAAAACTTTACCATCACCAGAACAACTCAAACATAAAGTTCTCATACGAGTAATAATTACCATATCGATCTTTTCTCATTTTGATAATATTTCTAAAATAGAGTCGTTGTCATTCAAAAGGTAAAACTATGGCTGATCCGAAATCTGATCGAAGTAATGATGAAACAGAACCAAATCCTAAAGTAAATAAAAAGCGAATTCGTATTTAAATTTTTATTCAATTTTTTAGGAATATCATCCTGAATTTGCTGCTTTAGTTGTTTACTCACAAATTGTTTCATTTACAAATATAACTCATACATTATCTACACGTATGTGTTTGTTTAAGATTTCGAATTTAAATTAATTAAAAAACTAATTCTTATAGAAAAATGTTATCATACAATATCATTTAAAGAAACAAAAGCGAATGATTTAATTGCTGTTGAATCACCACATCATCTTGATTTTATTACATTAACACAAGATCATTTAGTACGTGTTTATCCTGGAACATTACGACAAAATTCAAGTAATTTACATCCATTATTTTATTGGACTTATGGTAAATAAAATTTCATTTTTAAGTTAAGAAATTGTTCTTATAATATTTAGGTGTACAAATGGTCGCACTTAATTATCAAGCAAATGATGAATCCATGTGTCTTCAATATGGATTTTTTAGTGATAATGGTGGATGTGGTTATCTATTAAAACCCCCATGTTTATTAGCAAATGATCGATCATTTGATCCAAAAGAAAAATTTTATGAAAAAGGTAAACGTTTACAAATTCATCTTATTAGTGGTCAACATTTACCCAAAGAAAATAATTCCATTGAAGATCCTGATATATCCGATCCATATGTTATAGTTTATACATATGGTGTTGAATGTGATTATACAGAACATCGAACACCATCAATACGTAATAATGGTTTAAATCCTATTTGGGATTATAAAATAACCGCGGATATTTATTGTCCAGAATTATGTTTAGTTATTTTTCAAATACGTGATCATGATCGTTTTGGTCGTTCGACATTTCTTGGACAAGCTTGTATACCATTCAATGCACTTCAATTAGGTTACAGACATGTTAAACTAAAAGCTAGAAATGGAGATTTTATCCATGGAACAATATTTCTACATGTTCAAATTGATGATTTTTAAATTTTAATTTTTTGTTTTACTATATTTAGTCAGATATATATTTAATTATTTTTCTTTTTTTTTTACAATTTCTATATATAAATTTCGACTTTTGATCACAGTCTATGTGTATATTGAATAGAAACAATAATATCTGTTTCTTAGTGATGAAAAAAAAGAATTCTTAATAATGCTTTAAATTCAAATATTGACAAAAAAAACCTCACAAATAATATTAAATCATGTCTATCATTGTTGATTGGGACTTGAAATTCTATTTATTATGTCAAAAAGATAACATATGTTTGTTTTTTATATTTTATTTTTATCTTTCTATTGAATATCATCACTATTTCTACTGGTATTAGCTGCCACCGGTGTAAAAAATACAAATATAATAAACGCTTTTCCTATCACATATGTAAAACGAACAAGAACAATAATAAGTAAACATTTACAAACAAATAATAGAGTTAAACCAAATTTGAGATAACATCCAAAAAGAAAGAGAATAAATAGAAATATCCATAAGATTCGTGATTGTACAGCAAGAAGAAGTGGTGAAAATTTTAAAAGAATAAATAATGGTAATTGACTATTAAATAATAGATCAACCCATGAATCAATATTTCCCACTTCACTTAAAGCATACAATGGTATAGCAAAACCAATCCATGAACAAACAAGAAATCCTGGTACACCAAAACGAAGAACTAGAAGAATCACAAATTTAATACATGTAAAAGTAATAAAGAATAAGAGAAAAATAAATGTTCCTGGTGCTGTTAAATACATGTGTATAGCTATCGTAATTTTCATATAAATATATGCTATAATTCTTATAGGTAATGATAGAATTGGTAATGGTGATGCTGCAATTTGACCATAACGTATAAATGTAACTAGAATTTCAACAAATGTTAATAACCAACACATAAATGGTACAACAAAAAATAATCCCAATAATATTAAAACAATAATATATATTGTATTATAATTATTTTTATGATGTCGTACGGTTTTTTGATGTTGTCGATGTTTTAAATAGGACATTAAAGTAATTAGAAAAAGTATAATTGTTATTATACCAAGATAATTCCATAGATTGCTCGAATTACAAAATGAATAATCGAGTACGATTTTTGAATGAGTATTTTTAATTGAATGATCAGAATTCATATTTTTGTTAAATTAACATAGATATAATCGAATATTATATAGAACTATTATCAAATCTATTTTTATTTTTTTATATGTTTACAAGGTTAATTATGTTGAACAGTATTCGCTGAAAAAAAATGAAGAATAGAAATATCCCTAGATGTCGGCATTAATCGTTTTTATTATTATATTATTCATTCGATTTCTTTTCGTCCAAATCGATTTAATAATGAAGCAATAGCAAGTAATATTGTAAATAACATATTACCAGCACCAAACCATTGTACATATGTTAATTTCTTGTTTGTGTTAGTTGTACTTATATAATCTGCAATAAAGATCCATACACTAGCGATAACAGCTGAAAAAATGATAAGAAAAATAAGAAATAATGAAAATCTTGCACATTTTATTGAATGACCATTATTATTAAATAGATTTATTAGATTATTTTCATCTTGTATTGCTGTATTAGGAATGAAATGAATAATAATAAGCATTAATGTAATGATAATACCAGGTAGAATGTAAATACGAGAAAATAAATCTTCAGTTGAACGAACAAGTATATCAATGATAATCCACCATGCTATTCCAGTTATTGTACCAGAAAGAAAAGCTATTATATAATTATATTTTTTAATATTATTTGAAAATGGATCGTTACTAGTGAAAAACATATAGAACTTTATAAATCAAAAGAGTGCGGGTAAGTGATAATAAGAAGTAATATCTTTTTTCTAAAACGATGTCGTTGAAATTTTGTTTTCTTCGATTGTTGTAGAAATGTTAGTATCACTATCACTTCGTTTTTGTTGTTCATGATGACGATATACAATGAAATAGTATAAAAGTCCAGTTAAAGTTGTAACCAGAACGAATATAGATGTGATAACTACACCGATAATAGTTGTTACATCATTCATGTTAGAACGCGGTTGCTATTTGATTAAGTATACAGAGAATCTTAGCAACATTAATTATTGAATAAATTCATTATATTTATTTGATTATTTTCATATCATTGATATATTTTAAGTTAAAACAAAAAAAAAGAAACTATATATCGCATTTTGTGTAGTTAAAATTATTGAAGTACATATACGCGAGATGATTGAATCTGACCAGATGAATCAGTGATTAGAAATATTTCAGATATATTGCTGAGCTGACCTACTAGTAGTATGCTTATTTGAACAGAATTTATTTTGAAGCAGTCTAGAGAATTTCTGATGTGCAGGAAAAAGAATTTAACCCTGTAAGAGACATAATCTTTATGGAAAGCATAAAACTCTTATCGAAGAAAAAATAGAAATCATCGAATTCTATTAATTCAGATCAAGTCAGTTTACTCTGTTCATAGATTATGTCTTGTTAAGATATCTTTTCTAGTTTAGAAATATCATCTATCAACAGTTCATGACAACTCACTTTTAAGTTAACATATTGTATCGAACGTTTGTCATTCAATTTCAACTCAAAATAGAAAGTCATTGAGAACTTCAACAGCTATTATGTTATCACTTCTTAAAATCGTAAACGAAATGTCTTAACTTTAATAATAGCTTTACTTTATTAATTCTTTATTATATTCAAAAATAAGTTTAAATTATTTATCACAGTTGCGCATATACGCAAACAATCTTAATTTAAATAAAAATCAATCATCTTACAAATATTTCTTTCACTTTTTTTTCATTATATTTCATTGAAGAGTATTTAATGTTTATCAAACCACTTTTTTAAATTATTTTCAAAATCCTCCCAATTGTCAAATTGCTTGGTGAAAAAAGAATCTTTATCTTGTTCCATTTTCTGATTAAAGAGTACCGATGAACTGCGTATTCAATATTTAGTGTTATATTATGAGCAAATACAATTAGACTAGTATGCGCGTGTACTATCTTGGACTGAGTATTGATTAAACTTATATGTGTTTCAATTTTCCAATTTATATACCAATTAATTGTGAAAAAAAGAAGTATCTTTTGTTTTATAATTAATTAATAGAAAATAAAACTACCATTTAAAGTAAAGAAAAGTGCTGACATAATACAATTTCCAGTAAATATTATCAAACAAAAATTCAATTATTATTTTGAAGCTCAAGAGAAGAAGTAATATAAATGCTTGTAAGATGATTGATTTTTATCTAAATTAAATTTTTTTTGCGAATATACGGAACTGTAATAAATTATTTTATCTTATTTTTGAATGTAATAAAGAATTAATAAAGTTAAACAACTATTTAGTTAAGTCATTTTATATATGTTAATAATCAAATATATATAAGACTGCTATAACTTAATATTTATTAATTAATTTTTTATATCTATCTAGGTACACATAGCCACTTCTTTTTATTTAAAGTCATTTTTTTAATAGAATATTTTTTGGATTGACCCACGTTTTCAAATAATAATACAGATACACGCGTCCATTGTACGTTTAATGTTACATAGTAGGGACTGTGCTTCATTTTATCATAAAAAGAAAAAAATGATGTATATATTACTATGTTAGATGAGGGTCTGTTGAAGAAAAATTTTCTACAAAAACACTCAAACAATATCCGTCTCTTTCTTTTTTTCTTAAAAAAAACTTTTCAACAGCCACCTCTCGTCATTTATGAAGACGATGGCGCATATGTCGTTCCAAATTTCTTGATATGGTTATTTTTCTTTCTGTGGTAAAAAATATTATGCAATTGTTTTTTTCATATAACTTTTCTTTTCATTGATTTCAGTTTGATAGGAAGAACACGGTGAATTGACTGAAAATGATACTCTTCTTTGCCGGATTTATTTTTCTTATCATGATGTTTCGGCAACGTTCTTGCCTTCATCAAACAATGAACAACATGACAGGATGACTAGCACGCATATACATGCTCAACATATCCTCTCTCATATTTTTCTTCTATTCTTCTTTCTTTTCTTGGTTGATAAGCGGACGGCAGAAGAAAACAATTAGTTACTTCTACCAATATCATTGTCTTGCCGTCGCACTATCAAAAAAAAAAAGAAAGAATAAAAGAAGAAAAATATGAAAGAGAGAATATGCTGAGAATGTATACGCATGCTAGTCACTTTATCATGTTGTTCATTATCTGATGAAGGCAACAACGTTGTCGAAACGTCACGACAAAAAATAAAATCCTTTAAGGAGGAGTATTATTTTCAAACAATTCGTATTTCTTTCCAAGATGGAAATCTCTTTATGGTGGATAGATTATTGTTTTTACGCGTATTTTTCGAGTAATTCTTCTTTAGTATTTCCTCTGGAAGTGTGGAACGATTTTATACGTTAGTTCTTACTTTTAAATAAGCTTCAACTTGCATTCTATCCTGAGTGTTTTCTTTTTTTCCAACTAAGATTTCTTAAAAATGATCATAAATAATCAAGTACTTTGCGACTGAACGCTCTCACCTACATTCTTAGCTCTGCATCGATGTTAATTCATACTCCGCTTTTGCCTTTGACAGCATCTCAGATCTATCTATTTTCAGGCTCATAATGCAAGTCGTTTATTTCTTAGGTCCACGTATCACATGCTTTTTGTTTATGCTTTTCATGGTGTATTTAATAATGTTCTGTAAGCATACAGTGAGGAATAAGCGTAGCCAATTAATGTCACGATTATTTCCCTTATTTTCGTTTGCAATAAACAAGAACTCGAATGCATATGGATGTCTTCGTACCCGTCTCTTGTGATATTAATCGAAAGCTTTTCTTTGTATACTAGTAGTCATACGACGGTTCTTTCTAGACATGAACCTTGCGTTCATTGGAAATTCAGTAGAGGATGATGAATCTGGAGCAAGATTTGAATTAATACAATATCTTAATTATTTCTGCCTTTCAGATACAAACGGTTTATTCGAACACATCTCAGCGAGAATACAACGATAATTGATACTTATGTCGGAAAATCGTTTTGTAAACCATACTCTCTCAGAGCTTCAAGAAGCCAACCGCAGTCCAATATTTGGTTATGAAGATTCACCCATTCTAACATTAGAAGAAGCTGTGGAAAACCTAATTCCATGCGTTCCCGGTGTTTTAGATTATGTTATGACAGCTAAAAATAGATATAATCGACATTTAGATTTACTAATGCGAGATGAATCGGCGGCAGTATATCTTTACTCAATGTCATCACCTTTTTTTCGTTTTCTCAACGAAGCACTTCGAGCTGAAGATCGACATGCACTTAAACCATGGTTTGCTTACTTAAAATTATTTATGACAGCTCTCAAGAAATTACCATCAATTAAGGCAGTTGTTTGGAGAGGCGTTTACGGTGATGTTAGTTCAGTCTTTGCTGATAATAATATCGACATTTGGTGGAGTGTAAACTCAACTTCATTGGATCTGGAAAGTATTCGGCCATTTCTAGGCGAACACGGCACTTTGTTCGCTATTGAAGCTAAATGTGGCAAAGATATCTCTCAATTTTCGGCAAATCCAGACGAGAAAGAAGTTATTCTAATGCCTGGAACTCGTGTGCAAGCCAAAACCGGAGCACTCAATTTCATTGATCGTCTCTTCATTGTTCACTTGGACGAAGCAACTCCTGAAAGGTGAGTCGATTTGAAGATATAAATAAAATCTATCATATTCGTTTACTAATGAAAATATATTTAATGTGATCACCCTATCAAAATTCTCTAACCTATAGGTATAACGATCTACAGTATGATTCACACTGTCTCACCCTTTGTTTAGTCCGACAAATGATTTAATATCGAAACTTAAATATTGATAAGTTGTACATATCGTAGAAAAAATAAACTAATGCTTATAGTAATGCATTCATAAAAGTTTGTAAACTAGAACTTTTACAATTCACATACTAACTACCTACAAAAACATCTTCAAATATTTCGAACGGTTTTCGAACAACAGTTGTTTTTCTTTGATGGACCGTAGCAAAGCTAAAAATTCGCCCGAAAAAGGTTTTGAAAATGCAAATAAATAAAACCTATCATGATACATCAGATATTCGTTTCTCTTTT